AGAGCACTGCCACCAGTGGAGATGTCACCTTGGAATGGCCACAAAGAGCACTGTCACCAGTGGAGATGTCACCTTGAGATGGTCACACAGAGCACTGCCACCAGTGGAGATGTCACCTTGGAATGGTCTCAAACAAAGAGCACTGCCACTACTGCAGATGTCACCTTGGGATGGTCACAAAGAGCACTGCCACCAGTGGAGATGTCACCTTGGAATGGTCACACAGAGCACTGCCACCACTGGATTTGTCATCTTGGGATGGTCACAAACAAAGAGCACTGCCACCCCTGGAGATGTCACCTTGGAATGGTCACACAGAGCACTGCCACCAGTGGAGTTGTCAGCTTGGGATGGTCACAAACAAAGAGCACTGTCACCAGTGGAGATGTCACCTTGGGATGGTCACACAGAGCACTGCCACCATTGCAGATGTCACCTTGGGATGGCCACGAAGAGCACTGCCACCACTGCAGATGTCACCTTGGGATGGCCACGAAGAGCACTGCCACCAGTGGATTTGTCATCTTGGGATGGTCACAAACAAAGAGCACTGTCACCACTGCAGATGTCACCTTGGGATGGTCACACAGAGAAGGACAGTGGGGAACTGGGGGAACTGGGAGACGGAAGAGCAGCCAAACCTATCAACTGTCCATGAGTCACTGACTCCGAGCCACAGGCAACTGATAAAGGGAAACATCCAGTTGCCAAAAAAATCTTCATGAAGTGAGACAAAGGAAGAGAGGGAGGCAAAGAGACCAAGTTCCGTGGCAGGAGTTTATGTTTTTGATGATGCTTCAAAAGGGAGTTACCTGGATGAGGGTCAGAAGAACACTGAGTAGATGCCTGAGTGGTTCTGAAAATGCTGGGATGTTCACGGATCTTCATTCCTGGAAAAGCACAGGCCCCCTCCCCAGAGTCTCTGAATCAAACCAACTCCTCTGTTTTCGCTCCATATCAAAGCCCACCCACACCCTGCTCCCAGGGGGGCTTCTCAGCTGCACATGAAACACTTGGAGAAGTCCAGAACTTCACCCTCATCATCCCACGTGTGCCAAAGGCACCAGGAGCAGTGATGGCCACGGGGCACAAAGGCA